CCGCCGCGCCCGGCTCTGTGAGGTGGCGCCCATTGTGCCGCGCGCGCTGCGCGGGGCGTTCTCTTCCCGCCAGGCCTTCAAGCGGCGAAAGCCCGGCGCGGGTCGAGGAACCGGGCACTAGAGGCCGCTCGCCACCGGCGTACGCCAGGGCGCCCGCCGTACCTTTCCCTTCCCTTGGCTTCCTCCTGCGCGTCTTGTCCCTTACTGCCCAGCTCTTGGTGCGTGCCTTGGTTCACCTGGGCTGTCGTCTTGCGGGCGACGGCGGGCTGCTCGCTAGAGTGGCTGCTGCTCTCTCGGTCCTCACTTTCCGTCCACTTTAGGAAGTTTAGACGCCTTAGTATCAACGCTGCCGCCAGAGCGGCCGCAGCAACCGTGAATAAGGCTCCTGCGGCAGTTGCCAGGATGAGCGGGAAATCCATGTTGGGGGCGATGCTCGAGTGGGGTGCACCGCACCCGGCGCGGCCGCGGCGCCGTCGACGCCCTCGGCTGCAGGCCGGCACGCGGCCTCCCGGCAGGCAGCGCGGCCGGGACTGGACGCCCTGGGAACTCTGCGCCAGCGGCCTCGTCCGCCACCGCGCAGCAGGAGGCCACCGCCCGGGCCGGGCCCCATTCCTGAACCCTTTGTCTGATCCCACCTATTTATCCACCCTGTCTGAAAACCTCAAGGAACAACCACAACAAAGACGTCGACTACAGGGACAAGGAGTTATCCCCGCACTCCTCAGGTTATTCGAGAGCATGCTGCCTAGCCAGCCGGCCTGCCGATGGTCACCGCCCGGGGCCCGTCACAGCTAACCTGATTTACTTCCTGCAGGCCTTTTGGCAAGTTCCTCAACTCGCAAGTCCCAGGTTCAAACTGCTGAAAGCGGGAGACGTGTCCGCAGCGCTGTTTTGTGATAAGTAGCTCAAGCACAGCTTGGCTGCCTGGCACCAAAGGGCCAGCAGATGTCCTTAAGCTTACCTGCTGCTGGAACCGAGGAAGCAAGCTGATCCGCGCACATAATGTACCTCGCAGCTTCGCTGCTCTTCCGTTTTGATACTGAGGATTGATCCCAGGGACGCTTGACTACTGAACTACACCCCCAGCCCCTTTTACCTTTCCAGAGGTTCTTGCTAAGTTGCTTAGGGCCTCCCCAAATTAGGCTGGCTTCGAACTTGGGAGCCCCCTGCTTTCAGCTTCCAGCAGACTACAGGCGTGAGCCACCACGCCCACCTTGTTTTCTACTCTTGAATCAACATTGGTTATATTTTTATCTAGATCTTGCACAAAGTTGATTATTCATTTGTGAGTTAAAATGTCTTCTATAGCTATATTTTTCTCATTTTTAATATTTGTTTCTATCACTAAACAGCTTTTGGTTTTCTTGCTTTCTTTACTATGTCTTTATTTCCTAATGTGCTTTTTATTGTTTTCTTCGTTTTATGTTTTTTCTTTAATCTCCAGAGTTAAACACCCAGATCATTAATTTTGTCATATTTTACAATTCTTACATCTGAAGCCATAAGTTTCCTTCTAGACATCATTTCAGGTACATTCCTACCTGAATCTTCAAACAGTTAATAAGAGTAGGCAGGGTGGCAGAGCACTTGCCTAGCATGTGTGAGGCACTGGGTTTGATCCTCAGCACCACATAAAAATAAACATAAAATAAAGGCATTCTGTCCAGCCACAACTACAAAAGTTTTTTTTTTTTTCCAAAGAGGTAACAGAAATAAAAACATTACCGCTGATAACGTTAGTAGATAAATTACTTAGGTGCCTATTGGCTTGTAATTGTTGAACCCCATATTTAAGTAGCCCTGCCTAACTAGTCACAGTGAAACACACTAACGCCATATTCCTGCTGGGCCCTGTGAAACCTCTATCAAGGAGGGAAAGACCAGAGTTAAGTGTTTAGAGTCTCAAGAAAAGTAAGAACGAGGCTAAATTATTCCCAGATTCACCAAGGTAAGTGACTTCTCCCACATTTCCCCTCTCGTAGGCTTATCTAGGTCACCAAGGTATTCAGTTTGTTTCCATCATTGCTCCTTGCATCTCACTTTTTGGGTTCAGTTCTTGCATTTTTTTAAAATAAAGCTCTCTAAATCAACTATATTTTTTGTCTGTAAGTATTATCAAGCTAACTTTTGAATAATAATTAGCTGAATGCAGTTTTTGTCACATTTTCTTATGTTAAATTTTAGCCAATCTGACCAATTTCTAATATACCTGTATCTTTCTCTGTGATATTGATCCATTTTTACACGTTTAAAATCTTCTATACTGTTTTAAGTTTCAGCTTAATGTAGCATGAAGCTCCCATGATTGTCTTAATTTTAGTTCGTTTCCTTCCTTCACTAGCACTTTGTACCTTGTTCTTTTGGTGTTTTTCACATTCTGTTCACTGTTCTCTGTGACATCCACTTACTAGATTATAACTTTACTACTAGGTTTTTTTAGAATATAGACTGTACTCTTTTGTATGCTTCATACTAGTTAAGGCCTTGAATTCATGGATGCACAATAGTTATTGTTGTACAAGTAGGAACTTCACCCTATAACCAACTTACATGGAAGTCTAAAAGCTTCCGTTTGAAAGACCTGAAATGGGATTATCTGTATGTGGAGAGGAATCCTTTGAGGTAGAAAGTCTTCTCAGGGGAAACAATTTTTGCATTATGTGTTAAAAAATAAGACATTTTCAAGGTAACTAAAGGAAGGAACTAATGGGCACAGAGAAGAGATTATATGAGAAAAAGAATACTTTCCCTCTATTTCTGTGACTGGGAACACAGATAAGCCAAAGATGCACTTTTGACTATACACATGGGTATAATGGTCTAGGGCAGAGGTTCTTTGAAGTTCCCAGATACTGAAGGGATCCATAGACAGAATTAAGGGAATCGTCTTGAAGTAACCTTAAACTGAAATTTAATGTTTCCTTCAATCATGAATATAGGCATAAATCATAGTAGTAAAAACAGTATTTGATTTTTGCTATCAATAGAAATAAGGTATTTTTAATACCACCTTATAAATGTTGAGACAACTTCAAACAACATTATAAACTTTTCAAAAAGTACATGTTGGGGCTGGGATTGTAGCTCAGTGATAGAGTGCTCCTCCCTAGCACATGTGAGGCACTGGGTTTGATCCTCTGCACCACATAGAAAGGTTATCAAAAAAAAAAAAAAAAGAGGCAATTTTTTTAAAGCACATTACAGAAAAGCATGTATTTTTAATAACCGTATTTCCAAGTTTCCTTTATAATCAATTCTATGTATTTTACTTAAAACTTGGTTACAAGAAGGGATTCATAGACTTTACTAGGCTGACAAGTGTCCATGGCACAAAAATGGTTACAAATCCTTGTTTTGAGAGACAAGAGCAAAAAACCTAAAGGAAAGTGAGCATCTGATGAAAATCATAGAGCATATACCCTGCTAGCTTGGACTGCTTACCTCCCAGCTATTAAGTAACAAAAATACCTATATCATTTAAACCATTATACTTTTGAGTTGGTTTTACAACTTAACCTACTTTCACTGAGGTTATTAACTCATTTTGTCCTGCTGTCCCAGATACAAAAACACCTATAGAAACATTATAATTATATGCAGATAATTATGTAATTATAAAATGTAATTATGTAATAAGTATATTAATTATAATATACATATATTCTAGATTATGATTTCCAACCTACTTTAAAGGACCTGTGTCAATTTTTGTTGAAATATTCACAGATTGAAAACTTGGGACTTAATGGGTGAAAGTAATTTACACGAGGAATGATGAGGCCTAAATTAAGGCAATGGCAATTGAAGTGGAGAGAATACATGAGAAGAAATATTTAGAAGGTATAA